ATATATATATATACATTACTGCAAGATAAAGTTTTATGTAATTGTGCCAGCTCTGGTCATGCTGTTGACACTGATTGGTTACACCGCCTTGAGACTGAAGGCATGATGTGAAAACTCCATCTGTTCCAGCTCACTRGTTTGGTTAATATTAGACTATTTGTTGTTGGGCACCAAGGGGAAAAACATCTGAGGAATACCAGCTCATACCAGTTATGTTTAGTGCAATCAGGCCACTTGAAGTAAATGTAAAACAGTGTATTTGATTTTAAAAAGGATCTTTTTTCTTAAGGTCTCTAATTTGTATTCTGCATATTTCAAAGACTTGTTAGCCTGCTACATTTTTAAAAACTAATTATTTATTCATTAATATCCTGATACACCAAATGATTAAAATATTTTTTGAATATTTTGGTATAATTTCACAGAGGAMTCAGACTGTATTAATAAGYWTTTATTCAGAGAAGCCCGGTCTGCTTAGTTCGACCTTGCAGTTTTGGAAATGTTACTGATTTAAATTAAGTAGATATTATTGAGTTTGATTTTTAATAATATGCAAAAGACAATTCTTTTCAAGGGTGAAAATATTTTTTTGTGGTCCTCTCACAACCCGACCTTGATAAATCTAGGAACTGTGGTATTGAAATATGCCTGTGCTTTTCTAAAGGCTGACTCGGAGCAGGTCAGCTAGCGTGAGGGTTGCACATATGTTGGCATGATGGCATCATGAGTGCATCACTTATTCTGCACTTTTCCTCTCAAGCAGGCAGAGTTTTGTTTCTTATTTATGTGTTTCTATTTATTAGTGCTGAACTATTGGAACAGAAAAYAACACAGAGTTACAAGTACATGCAAGTCCAATTGCATTAAATGTTCATGTGGTTTGTACACACAAATACATATAGTTTTTTTTAATTCAAATTGTGAAAGTACTATAGTTTTATTGAGAATCTTCTAATTCTAAAGTTAAAAACAGTTTCCCAGAAAGAAACCCGAAGCTCTGTAAGTAAATTGAGGTAACAGGTAACAGCTGCTGGGAAGCTCACAGCTGTGAGATACTGTGTTCAAATACATCTAAATATAAAACGGACACTCTGTACATTCTGACTGGGGGGAAAAAAAGAACAAGAAACTCACATTTTAACCAAAAGGTGTTAAAGTAATTAAAGTATAAAAAATACTCAATTTGATAAAAAAAGTTTTCTTTTTTCATCACAGTCAAATTATGACAAAATACATTTAGGATGACAGTGTTAACCACTACCTCACCAGACTGCTCCCTTCTTTTAGGATTTGAAATTATTTTTGAGGTTTACTGTTTTATGATGTAAAACTGCAAAAGAGGATTAGGGCCACTAATTAAATAAACAATTCTGACTTTATTCTCAGAATTCTGACTTTAATCTCATAATTTTGTGATTAAAGTCAGGATTCTGACTTTTATCAGTGGCCCTAATCCTCTATTGGGTATAAAACAGTAATGGCAAATGGTAAATGGACTGTACTTGTATAGCACCTTTCCACCCAACCAGGATACTCAAAGCACTTCACACTACAATCTGTGTCCTCATTTACCCACTCACACAGCACTCTACCAGATCTCCTACAGTCTGCAGTTGGGTTAGAATGTTTTTGTTGATGAGGGAAAATTAATTCAAGTGCTTCTATCTCATGCATTCTTCCACCCCCTTCCCACATTTCCCCATCAATCCCCCCATTTGTTTAAATTCTGCAACACAGCCTGTTTTCATATTTTTGTCTTCAAATTATTTAACTGCTCAAATTGGCTAATTTTAAGAAATGTGGATTGTGCTAATTCAGTTAAAATGCCCCTATTATTTTTAACCACTACTTTGGTCTTTAGCAGCATCTGCTGTTTAGGAGAAGAACTGAAAGAAATGCAGTGTTTTTCAGTGTAAACAGCAGCTTTGCTATCTTGACAGCACAACTTGCTTTAATCGTTAAATCCAATCAGCTTGCCCCCCACTCCCAGCAAACAGACGTGGACACGGTCTCCCTCCTGACCAATGAAGATGCTCAGAAAACTGGGGCAGCTCTCTCTCACAGTATAAATCCCAGCTGCAGGTGGCCGTCTCTTTTCAGCAGGATCACATAACAACCAGAAGGTCTCTGGTCATTTTTCTGCTTGCTGGAGCTGCCTGGGGGTGGTGGGGAGTTTTATTGTTGCTCATTGTGTCTCTGTCGGCAAACAGCCTCTTGGCTTTTGTCCCAGAAAATAAACCTGATCCAGCTTCAGCATCTCAGTCTGATAACATGATTATGAACCCATAGCTATACAAATACATCACACTTTGTGTTTTGGTTATAATTTGTTCTCATTGCACGAAAAAGAAGAGGCAAATACATTGTAGCTGTTCATGTTTTTTTTGTTTTTCAGTTGTTTTTTATGACAGCTAGAACATCAGACAGTGTTAAAGCCATATCTCTCAGCCCCATTGGGTGTTTAATCTTATTGAGTTTTATGCTGTTGGTGTACTGTATTTGTAGTGTTTCTCTGAGTGAGATTACCATTTGCTGATTATTCTTGTATTGCACAAATCTGTTTATGTATTTTGTTTATCAGCAACCATTTATTGCGTTTGGGAGAGCACAACTTCCAGATCAGTGAGAGAACCAAGCAGTTTGTCAGCCCGTACCTTCTCAAAGTTAACAAGAAATGTGCATTCCTTCAGAAAATGTTAAGCTTTTCATTTCACAACTTACAGTTACTGTAAGAACTGGAATGATTACTGACTCCATGTTTTATACTGAATAAATGGAGAAAGGCAAGAATATAAAAAAAATACTGATAGATAAATAAATAAATGAATACAAAATTCTGAGTTTGAAACTTCAGTGCACCACTTGTAACACTGGGCTTTTATTGGATGATCATCTTTAACTAATCCAGTTAAAGATATTTAATAAATCATCCTAACGCAGTTTGTCTTTTGCCAAACTGATGCACTGAAACAAGCAATTTAAAGAATCGTTATTATAATAATTAAGAAAAAAGATCTGCATTACATGTGAATATTTTTACTGTTTTATTTGAATGTGATACGGTTCATCTTCTCTTTTTGTCTGACCAAAACTAGTCTTTTAAGTATAATTGGTGTTACACAGACTCTACAGCAGGGGTATTCAATTAAAATTTAAACGGGTCCAATCAGAAAAAAATTCTTAAGACCAAGGTCCATAAGATTATAATGTCCTATTATTTAAAGTTACATATATTTAAGTAGCTTAGTAGTTGTATCAACATCCACACAAATTGATTTGCATATAAATTTAATTAATTCAGTGTAATTCAAATACTTTTTCAATATTTATTGTCACGTAACAAAAAAATGAACAAGAAATTCTAAAGTCTGATGTTTTATGTTTTCTTACTGAGTAAAAGTATAATGAACATGTCAAAATAAGAAACTAAAGACGTGACAACTGTACATGTTGATTTGGTACATTTGTTCAAAACTTTGTTTAAAACTTTTATACTTTGTTACACAATGGCATTAAACATTGCCATTTTTAATAAGTGTTGCATTTCAGAACATGTGAGGCACACTGGTTTAGTTCCAGTGGCAAGTATAAAGAAAAATGACTCTGTCCATCCTGGATTAAATGCTCTATTTTTGCTGTCCTTTTTTTTTGATGCCATTATTTTTTTCTGTTTTATTTACTTTTTTTTGTTTTGTATTTGTGTCGGTTAACTCTCCAGTTTTTCTCCCCTTCTCCATCTCATCTAACAGTTTTCTCCATCCTTTCTCACCTGCCTGTATATTACCTTCTCTATTTCTGTTTTTTCCCCCCTTCTCCATCCTTTCCTCTGTCTCCAACACTTGACCACTACTGTAAAGACTGCAAAACCTGTGCATGTAACTGGTTTATGCTGTGTTCAGACCGAAGACGTTTTGCATGTCAAAAATGTGTCCAATGACTCATGTTGGACACTTGTGCACTTTGAGGTTAGACGCTCGTCAAAATYGCTCTATTCGCACATCAAGATGCATGTTGAGAGGAGCCTTCTTTACTATCTCTGTACAATGACAGATGAAACAGAGAGAGTGGCATGGCTTTATTTACTGAGAGCCAGAGGACGTTGTTGTTGGGCACCTTGGATTCACCAGATAATTCAGAGGAGTTCTGAGTTTGGTGGCTTTCACCACTCCAGGAGCTGTGTGCTGATGAGTGTTGCATTCAGCGCTTTTTTTTTGTCCTGAGCACAGTTTGACTGGGTTGCTGACCCCCGTCAATGCCCATATCTTCTGCCAGGACATCAACTACAGGTGCTTGATTTCAGCTGGAGAGCTCTGTCCATCTGTCTCAGTTTATTGGGCATCATTCAGGAGATTATCCCGTCGGAAAATGTGCCACCACGTCACACATGGCTAGATGTGACACTCCATTTCTAACTGCTAAATTTCAGATTTTCCCTCAAGTGTCTGCTTCTTTGGATGCACTATACATGCATCCAACGCTTCAAAACACACAGCAACATTTCTCAACGCCCCACCATAGACTTTGTATGTAAACCCGATGCCCCTGACACTCAAATCTCGTTAGATCTGAATGCAGCATTACACACGCTCATTTAAGTTTTAAGTGGTGATCTCTGTTTTGGCATTGGGTATGTGTCCGCATGAGGTGCCATTCCAGGCCGGATCCGGACCCAGGCCTGCCTATTGGTGACCCCTGCTCTGCAGTGTAAGATCACACACACGCCATTGGGAATCGTGACCAGGCGCAAAATCTATTCAGTGTAAAAGTAATACAGTGTAGAAAACACAGATTTTATAGTGGTTCAAATGAACCCTGCGTTATATTGATTTTTGCATCACCTTTCACTGAGTTCTTTTAAATATTGAGTTAAAAAGAAATGTATAAATTTCCCAGATCCACATCATCATTATCAAACACACTGATGCAAGACAAAATCAAAGATTTTTATTGATGAAATTTGACAGCTCCTTTTCTTCTTCTCTCCCATCGTTTCTCCCGGTGGCTTTTCTTTGCTACGGTCCTGCTCATTTTATTTCTGAAATTACCCACAACCACCTGCTGTCCCCGTCTCCTCCAGTTTCAGGCTCTGTCTTGTTTCCCCGTCTCTCTCATGTAGTTCTGTGATGGCGGATCACAGCCTAGCTGTATCTGGAAAGGATCCCTTCGATCCAGGGCATCAGAGAACAGACTTTGGTGTAAACACCTGGGTAGTTAGGCTGAGCACAGCCCTGACCCCAAGACACGATTCCGTGCAGCTCGCCATTACACACCAGAGGGCCGCCAGAGTCGCCCTGAGCACCACAAAAAAATAATCAAAATAAAAAGCTGAAAAGTGCTTGTTATTGCAGTCTTGTCTTCAAATTAATCCTTATTGTTTGGAGCAGACCATTTTTTGTTCATGCGCAAAATGTGCAAAGCATACCTGACAAGCATCCTTGCCTCCTTCCAGGTATCCAGCACACACCATGCGCTCAGTGATCATCCCGGGGTAGGAGGGCTCACACTCCTTGTTGGACAAGATGGGAACCTCCACACATTGAAGGTAAAATGGGTTGAACACTTCAGTTAAAAGCAAGGAGGAAAAAAAACAGGTTGAGTTATGGGATAATTGTTTTAATCTCGAGTGAACATCTCAGAATCTCTCATCAGACCCCCTCACTGACCCGTCTGAACTGCAGCTGTAATTGTTTTCTTTTTGTTAAATCACTTTGGGTGTAAAAGATGTGCATGAAGATTTTAAATGTGAACAACAAGTTCTGTCATGGATTTAAATCAACAAAATGAATCCAAACAAACAAACAAAAAAAAGAAAGAAAAGATGGCAAAAGGATTTTACAGGCTGAGCGCTTTAGTCACAGATAACATCAGCAAACACAAAAATATCCACGACAGGCTCTATTTTACAAACACTAAGCTACATTTTGTTGTGCAGTAGCTGAAAGTGATCCTTCAACAACCCTTTGTTCAGCATTTACAGATTTTGTGAGTTTTGTGTTGAAAACGTTGTCGTTAACTGTTGGAGTCACTCTGTCAAGATGTCTGTTACAAATGGCTGACTTTAGAAAAACGTCTATTATGCAGTTAGTTATTTAGTTTTTGAGCTAAAAATCTGCTGTATTTGAGAATAATTCCAAACACATAATACACATAACGAAAAGTGGCAAATCTCACAATACTGTGTTGTAAAATATGACATTATTTTCAAGATCTGACTAACAACTCTTAATTTCCTAGCTCCTAAAATTCTGTCATGAATTGCTGAAGGTGTTACGCTTTTCTTCAAGGAATGCTAGGCCTCCAGTTACTAACACAAATCCTGAAAAATAAAAACCTGAAAGCCAAGATACTGTAGATTCTTCAAAAATTCCATCACAGGTAACGTCTTGAAATTTTACATAAATGTTACTTGTTATAGCTGAAAGTCCAAGATTGCTTATCGTTTCTCATGGTGTTACTTAAATGGTCTTACCACATCTGCACCYGCTGTGACAAGTTACAAGTTTCATCATTATCATCAGACAGGAACCTTTTTGATGTCCTTCACTGCCAAGATTAGGTGTATCTCACCTTCATCGGAGTAGATATTTCCCCATCCTGAGACCGTGCACATGTCTCCAGGTGTGGGACAGGCTTTGGGCAGGGGGACAGGCTTGACGTACTCGTTCAGAGAGACTGGGTGTGCCAGCTTCATCAGCATGATGTCAAAGTCCAGGGTAGTGTAATCATAGCTCTCGTGCCAGTAGATGGCATCCACAGACATGTACTGCTCAGTGCCTTCATACTCCCAGATGTGGTTGTCTCCCAAGATGGCAATCTGTGAAAAGGGGCTGAAAAGGATGCAAAAACATTTGTGGTTCTTCATTTATTGTTTTTTTTTAAAGTGTGATTAAACAGAAGGCTTTGGTACAAACTTTTGCCAGCAATGAGCAGCAGAGATGATCCACTGGTCATTAATAAGGGAGCCGCCACAGAAGTGGTATCCGATGTTGAGGGACACCTGCCAGGGCTGAGAGTGAGCCTCACACTGGTAGCCTCCAACAATTTTGTCATCCATAGGAGCTGCAGCTGTTGCATCAAGGAAAATGGAAGTTTTATTGCTTTTTCTATTCACCAGTTCTATTCTAAAACATGTGTAAAATGCTGCAAATGGTTTTTTTACCTGCAGCTCCCAGGAGCATGAAACCCATCAGGACAATCATGATTTGGCTGACTCAGTCCTGCCCACAGTCAGACTGGTGTTGATGACCTGTTTCTGCATTTATACTTTGACTTCTCTGTGACCTACCACATATCCCTCCTCCTCAACAACCTTCACCCCAACCCATCCACCCTCCGTTATGTTTCTATCCACTCCTCCCACTCTAATCCCTGCGTTGGACCTGAATATGCAACTGTGTTTTCAGCAAACACCACAGTAAATGACCAGTTATTTTGTTTCACAACATATTGCACAAACATATTCCAACAACTCTCATTTTAATTTTATATATGTTTCACACTGATTCAACTGTAAGAAAAAAAACAACATGTTCTGTAATTTGCTGCTTCAGAGGCAACAGATTCTTCATTTTCACCTTTTATAGCTTTTACTCAAAAGTGACCAAAAGCAGAACAGATTTATTTTCTGAACATTTTCAGTCAAAAATCATATCAAAAATGTTGACTCTCATACTGCAAATGCGGTCTTTTAACCTTTTCTTTATTCAAACACTTGGATCACTGTTGGCATAGTTTTAATGCTGCAGTTTTCCAAGAATTAGTGGGCGAGAGAAACACAATGTGTGGAGACGTTGAGAAGGTGAACAGATGACATTCAAAAACTAAAAAAATAAAAACCCTGTGACATGACCAGGGTGGACAAATAAGAAAATTGGAGCCAGATAAAAGAACAGATTTGGTAAGGCACATTTAGAACCCAAAAAAGTAAGAACTCGGTGTGAAAACGCAGATGGGGTCAACAAAAAGAGCAAAGAGCGGAGGTGTGGAAAAAGGCTGAGCACAGCAGGTTGGCGGGGTATAAATATGGGAGAGTCCAAGTGTCTTCTGGTCACCTAACATCATGAGGCTGCTCTGTTTTCTGCTGGCTGTTGGAGCTGCTGGTAAAGAAACAGAAGGACACAAACACTGCACTCACATTTGTTAATAACACACACACAGKAGTGGTTATAATGAAGTGTTGTGGCTGCAGACTGGATTTAAATTTTCTGTGTTCTTTAATGGACAGTTGCAGTGCCCAGAAATGATGGCAGGATCATTGGAGGGCAGGAGTGTGAGCCTCAYTCTCGGCCCTACATGGCCTCTCTCAACTATGGCTACCACTTCTGCGGAGGAGTGCTCATCAACAACCAGTGGGTGCTCTCTGTTGCCCACTGTTGGTACAAGTAAGTATGTACAAATAAATGAAACTGGAGAAATATTAAAAGGTGCAAATGAAGCTGCTGTTTTAAATTCCAGCTTTTTTCTATAAAGCCTTACTTCATGCAAAAAAGCTGACAACAGGCCTTTATTTTAATATATAAACTCAAAGTAAAAAGACCAAAGATTGAGGTAAATTCCTCAAAATTCAAAAACTTAAATTGCAGTTGAGTAAAAAACAATAAAAATATCAAAATGCCAGTCCATTTATGTAAATTCCAACAGTCTATCACCCGTTTAAACTGTGAAATAGACCATCTATAGAAGGGAAGAGCAATTGGTGGCAGAGTTGTAAAGGAACTAAGTACAAATACTTTGTTACTGTACTTAAGTAGAGTTTTTGGGTGTCTGCACTTTACTTGAGTAATTATTTTTCAGCCTATTTTTTACTTCTACTTCTTACATTTTCACACAATTACTTGTACTTTCTACTCCTTACATTAAAAAAGGCAAGAAGTAGAAAGTCGTTACTTTTATTTTAATTCTGCTTGTTTTCATTCCAGCTTGTTATTGTAAAAAATAAATACTATCCACATAAATTGTGCCTCCTAGATAAAGTGAATTTAACTATGGTTGAATGATTAGTATAGATATATAAAATTCTGATACCGTATCAGTTTGTACACAAACAAATCATGTCACACTTCAACAGGACATAATCATTAAAATAAAAGTACTGTACTTAAGAAGTATTTGTATTTCATGAATTATATTATTGCATTTGGCCGCAGCCCTCAGATAGATTTTCATTTTGGAGAAAAGTTTTGTGCAGCCTTGATATATGTATATAAACTGAAAAGGCTAGAAGAGTGCATCCTAAATTTAACATAAATTAATTATTTTAATACAATATAGTCATTTCTGCTTTGTTTTGGGG